GATGTGCAAGCTAAGTAACTCATGCCCTTTTGTGTTTGCTCAGCCTCTCAGGCTTGAGTTTTTCTTACAACTCATTCATGTTGCCTTCCTGCTTCTGCTGGTACTGAATTGGCCACCTTGCTTTTAGCTGATTGACATCATTTATTATGCCCTATTGAAGAAGTTCTTTTTTTTTTTTTTTTTTTTGAGATGGAGTCTTGCTCTCTCACCCAGGCTGGAGTGCAGTGGCACAATCATGGCTCACTGAGAGCTCCACCGCCCGGGTTCACGCCATTCTTCTGCCTCAGTCTCCTAAGTAGCTGAGACTACAGGTGCCCACCACCACGCCCGGGTAATTTTGTTTTTGTATTTTTAGTAGAGATGGGGTTTCACCATGTTAGCCAGGATGGTCTCGATCTCCTGACCTTGTGATCCACCCAAAGAAGTCCTTAAATTGAGGTCTACAGACTCCTTGTGGGATTCAAGAATTAAGGAAAGATCCATGAACTTAAAGGAGAACAAAAGTTACATCTTTTTTTTTTTTTTTCACTAATGTCTAATTTAAATTTAGATTGTTCTTCATTCTTCAGTGTAGGCAACAAACCATGGTAGTATTAGCAATGCTTCTACCTGTGGGTTCATTACCAGTAGGAACAACTACTGTTTCCATTTTTTTACAAGGGTTGTTGCAGAATCTCAAAATAGTGTTTGCATCCATTGCTACTTTGAAACTGCAATACATATTCGACCTGCCATTGGATCTTATTATTTAACACCTCAACAAAGCACATCTATTTCTATATCAAAAGATGTGAGTTTTTTTTTACATTTTGATAATCATTTCTCAATAGAATTGGTTTCCTCTATAATGCTATATATTTCATTTTAAGCATTTAATCCATTACTCTGAGAAGGGGTCTATGGCACAAAAAAAAAATCTTAATAATCCCCACTTAGACGCTTCTATGTGCTTTAAACACAAATGAACACATTTAATTATTGCTGACATAATTAATTCTAATTATTGCTGCTGGCTTTTACAGATGGAAAAAAACTGAGTCACAGAAAGATTAGTGAACTACAAAGTGCCACATAATCCGGAAGTGGTAGGGCAGGGAAGGGATCTCAACAGCCTGGTTCCTGAGGCCATGCCCTCAACCACTGGGCTGTCCTGCCTTCTAGAAGAACCTGGACAGGGCACAGGCCCAGAGCCCCAAGGGCCTCAATTTCATCCTAGAGGTAAGGGAAAGAGCAGGAGGAGAGACAATTGCATCTGTGCTGGGGAAAGATAAGAGAATGAAGTAGAGGTGCCTGGAGTGAGATGTGGTTAGAAACCCAAAAGGCAGGAAATGGCCCAAACCAGAGCAGTAGCTGTGTGCCGAAGAGTGGTAATCAATTTCGCCAATCTTTAGGCTATGGAATAGAGAATAAAGTGCTCCCAACCAGATAGCCAGGTAACTGAATAAGGTTCTTTTCTCATCAACTCTGCTATCCTAAATCAAGAAAGCAAAACAATGATTCTGAGGCCAAATATAACCCATGGAGTAGGGGCTAAAAGCTAATTATTTAGAACATTTGAGTTGATTTGGATGGTCAGGGGTGAGCCATTGGATTCCCAACAATCTCCAATCCAGTTCCACACCCTTTGGTGGACCCAGTAAGCACCAGATATAGTCAGAGGTCAAAGGAGAGACAAGGACTACACAATGTGGCCTAAAGGAGGTGCCCTGGGATTCTGTGAAGCCAATCTTCATTGAGTGGGACCACTCTGAGCATTGCAGGGCACTTAACAACCCTAAGCCCTGGACGTGAAATGTCTTTAGCACTGCACCTCATCACTGTGATAGCCAAAAACTACTCTCCCACATTTTCAAATGCCCCCCACTCCCTAGGAAGCACTCCCACCCTGCTTGACAGCCTCTAGGCTACAGACAAAAGCAAGAATCAGAGGCGCCGCTGGATCACATAAGAGTGATTCCTGCAATCCTGCAGCAAAGTTCTGTTATTAATAATTCAATCCTAACCACAGAGTCTTGCCTGGACGTGCTCTCTGTAAATCCGCTGTGCCTTTATCCATGCTGTTTCCGCCTCTGACCACACCATTCTCCCGTGCTTATCAGCCGGGCAGACTCAGCATCTGGCACGTGGTCAGAACCCAATATCCATTAGCCATTATGCACACCTGCTCTGTGAAGCCAGTTCCACTTCTCTGGGGAAATAAGGCACACTTTCCATAACCACCATGCTTTACACTTACCTCCATTAAAACAGTGACCAAATGGCATTGTGATCATTTATTTCCAAATAGAATGCACATTTTCTAATAGACACTTGGGAAGGTGTGTTGAATGAATGAATAAATAATATCTTAATTTGCCCAGCAATCTGTACTGTCAACAACTCAAGCAGATCAGGTCATATTTCAATTTTGCTGAGAAGAAAACTATAAGTCTCCCTCTTCCCCAAAAAAACTACCACTTATTGCCTGTTTAATAAATGTTATTTATTAAATAACGTATAATGATGTCATTAAATGTACTGCCCTGACAATTCCTGATTGTATGGCATTGTGTGTTTGCAGTGTACTATCACTTTAAATGCATTGTACCAGTTAATAGGAAGTCTAAGAGTTTAGGTGGCTCTCCCAAGGTCAAGGCCACATAGCCAGTAAGGGAAGGGCTGATCTGCACACAGATGTCCTATGCCTTGTGATCTGTGGAGTTTATCTGGACACAGCAACTAAATGGGGCACAAAGCAAATCTGTACATATTAGGATTTAGAAAGAGGGGAATATTAGGGTGGGAACTCTTTAAAAAAGGATTTCAGGATGACACCTTTAAAAGCATAAGCTCCCTTGTAAGTTAAAAATCTTCCCGATTTACAATCACCAATTCTCTCACCCAGCTCTGCAGGAAGACACCAGTTGCAGGAAGTGGGGCCACCTGCATTTCCAGGAACACAGACATCCCAGTCAGTGCCAGGAAGGTGGTGAATGTCCCCAGCCTGTACGGGTTGCCATCGGGTCCCTACTGGCCCCTGCAATTCCTCCTCTGGTATGAGTGACCGTGTTCTTGGTTCTGCTTGCTAAGAGCTTACCTAGGAGAGAACCCAGCACTCAAAGAGACCACAGGGCATGCTTGGCTCCAAAAGACACCCGCTTTGGGCTGAGGTTGGGGGCTGCATTTTGCATTTGCCTCAATGCCTGGGTGGTCTCCAGGGCTGGTGCCAAAGAGCACACATTGCAGCAATTTAGCAGAGACCACAGAAGTGGGTGAGAGCGGCGGAGGTTGAAGTGGGTTTGGAGACAGGTTCCACAATCCCACCCTGCCGACTCCCTCTTGCCACCCACAGAATAAAAAGGTGCTTCTGGTCCATGCACAGCGTATTGCAAAGGCTGTTTTCCATGCTGGGCAATCAATTGCCAGGTACTACCCTCCCTGAGCCTCTGTTTACTCACATATGAAAATAAGGGTGAGAATGTTCACCATTTAGGCTTAACATGAGGACAAGATGGTGCCTTGTTTAGGTGCTTATAGTGAATTCAGTGGTAGAGAGAGGAAACTTTTGTTATCCACAAGGCTGAGAGGGTGCACAATTCAGTTCAACAACTATTTACGTTAATAGCTGCACCATTCCAGTCCCTTCTCCAGAAGAATACAGAGATGGAAAAGATACAGCCCCAGCTGTCATATCTCTGATATGAGGCCTGGTTTTCATTTTCTTTCAACATGGCATGACAGAGAAGGCAATCAGGATGTAAAAGGAGGCAAGTGCCCTGGTGGGAGGGATGGAGGTTAAAGGGCTGACCCCCAAGAGGCCTCCACTCTAGAGGCCTGGGGCCTGGGTCGGATTAAACTTGACACCACCTTTTAGTAAGAGTACCATGTAATGAGGGCCTGCCATGTGCCAGCCCCATGCTAAGCACATCAAATACATCATCGGATTATCTTCAAAGTGATCTTTGAATGAATGATGATCTCCAACTCTGCAAAAGAAGCATCATTAACCCTCTTTTAGAGGCAGGGAGGCAGCATGTGTACTGGTTAAGGATGTGAGCTTCAGAATTGAGCAGCTGTGTGACTCCTGCAAGTGGTTTAACCTAAGCCTCAGTTTTTTCACCTGTAAAATGAAAACCATGCATAGCTCCCTCCTGGGTTTATTTAGGAAAGTTAAAAGCAATATACATTTAACTGCTTAGCACAATATCTGGAAAATCCATTGTGGTTACTATGAAATGGGAGCCTCAAGATAATGTATACTGTGTTCAAAATACTGTGGGTGCTTAACAAATATTAGCTTTCTGACTACATTTACCGTGCTACCCCTCCTGCCCACCAGCCCCACCTGAACTCTGCATTCCTAGTGCTTAGCACAGAGTTGCACTCCACTGCACTGACTGGAGACATGAAATGGTATTATAGAGTGAGGATGTCAGGCCACAGCATTTCCTCTAGATCTGTGATCCTACTGTTTTATGCTATAACATCTTTTGAGAATATAAGCATGCCCCTCCCCCTAACTCTCTCTCTCTCATGCACAAACATACGCACACACACATCATTCACATTTAACATCTCAACAATCTGCGAGTTCCAAGAGAGAGGAGATCCATTTTAAGATGTACTCGAGTCCAGTACCCCTTGGCTACAGTGCAATTACTTGCCAATACAGTCCTTAAAAGAGAGCCGGGCCCTGACAGCTACAGTTGATGCTCTCCAGGCCACCCCAGTGGGCCCCACAGCTCTGGCTCCTTCACCTGATGGTGACCCAGTGATTCGGCCCTGCCACCCCTGGCCAGGTTTTGCTGTTTTCCCAGCCAGAGCAGCAACACTCCAGGAATCAAAATGAAAACAGGAAGAACTCTAACCTGAGCAAGAGGTTTTTTTTTTAATGGACCTATGCTTTCATATGGCAGCCACACAAAGGCACAGACAGAAATAGTTACTGCAAACTGTTTCCCTTCGAAGCTTCTCCTTCCAAGGAGACGCTTGTCATCATTGAGACTGCTTGTTTGGGAACAGCTGACTGTCAGTGCATGGTCAGTTCAGGCAGGGAAGCGGATTCCAGGGGACCAGGGCTGTAGCTATTACCAACAGCTGTCAGAGCTGGAAATGTGGAAACATCTCTGAGCCAACCTCCATCCACTCATACATGAAATCCGAAGGGGAGAGAACATTCCCTCTCTGGAAAGAGGGTAAGTGTTCATTTTTCTTCTTTTGCCTCTATTTATTTCCCCCTTTCAGAGATAAATTTGCTATCCTGCAGGTCTGGAACTAAGAGATGAATGCTGCTCCCAGACAATGGGATTATTTTCTCTCACAGATTGAAATAGGACCTTATCTCAATACAGCACACTGAGTTTTGTTTTGTTTTGAGGGGACAGGGGTCACTGTGTTGCCCAGGCTGGAGTGCAGTGGCTATTCACAGGTGCGACCATAATGCACTAGCAGCCTTGAACCCTAGACTCAAGCAATCCTCATGCCTCAGACTCCTCAAGTTGAGTAGTTGGGACTACAAGTATGGGCCACCATGCCAGGCCTACCTTGAGTATAATTCAATTAAATTCAACAAGCATGTGCTGAAGGCCAACAACAGGACAGGCACCTTTGCTAGAGGTTTGGGAAGCAGAGATGTATCGTCATCCTCCCTTAGCCTGAGTTCTTTCTAAGTATCCTTACTAGAATACCTTACACAGGGTCCTGCCCTGTAGAAGGGCCCACTCACTCACTCGTAATCTTCCCACACTCCTTCTCCAGTAATTTGGGTTTTCCTAAAGATTTCATTTACCCAGTTATCTTCTCTTGGGTTCAGACAACCATCTTCAACCCTTCACTTTCCTTTAGCAATAGGTTCAGACAATTCTAACTGCTATGTGACCCAAAATTCCATCCCTCTCCATTGGGTCCTTATTGCTAACTGCTATGGACTATTCAACTTTTTTGGTTTCTGCCAAGACTCATGCTAGACCTTCCTTATTGGACTCCTTTACCTTCAGTTTCTCTATTTCCAAATTCTCTTCACATTGTATCCAGAACCATCTATCTCTAACATAGTCTGACTATGTCTCAACCCAGGCTTCACACATTTGACTGGTACCCATTTTCTCTAACATGAAATTTTCATTCTAATTCACAGAGTGCACAAAGCCTATCTTCGCTCAGGCTGCTATTGCAAAATACTGTAGACTAAGTGGCTTAAGCAAGAGAAATGTATTTCCCACAGTTCTGGAGGCAGGGAAGTCCAAGATCAAGATTTTGGCCAACTTGGTTTCTGGAGAGGGCACCCTTCCTGGCTTGCAGAAGGCTACCTTCTTGCTGTGACTGCACATGACCTGTCCTCAGTGGTTGTGCATGGGGAGTTACAGTAAGCTCTCTCTTCCCCTTCTTTACATGGCCCTGAAGCTATGGGATTACTATCCCACCCTCATGACCTCATTTATCCTTAATTACCTTCTAAAAGCCCTATCTCCAAACACAACCACACTGGGGATTGGGGCTTCAACGTATGAATTTGGTGGTGGGGACACAACCCAGTCCATAGCAAGGTCCTTCTCAAACTGAGTTCAATTTCTCTCTACTGTTGTCTCCAATTACTCCTCCATCCCACACTCCTGCTGGGCCTTACCACAAGGAACCACTTGAAGGTGTCCCAATACTGTAGCTGACTCATGTCTCTGGCATCTGTTGTTCAGTAACCAGAGTAAGGTGGGCACCACTGTCCTGCCACAACGCCATTTTAAAGTGAATGCCTGGTTACACCTTGATCATATTACCCTAATGTCAGGATCTCTGCTCAAAGTAGCCATGTACTCCCTGCTAAGATGGGAAGTGAAGGCTTATCTATGTCCAGGGATGTTAGAAGGAGGTGCCATGGGAAATCTTGGATTAAGGGCTGAGCTTGTAGAAGAGGGCTGAGCAGAGAGGGCACAGAGGAACATTACTGCACACTGGCAATGGGATGGTCATTATCTATTGGGAGTCCCCACAGGACATAAAGGTGAGGAGCAACTCCACAATTCCCAACCTCCAACACATCCCAACTCTGGGCAAGATACGGTTTGGCTGTTTCCCCACTCAAATCTCATCTTGAATTGCAGTTCTCGTAATTCCCATGTGTCGTGGGAGGGACCCGCTGGGAGATAATTTAATCATAGGGGCGGTTACTTTCATGCTCTTCTTGTGATAGTCAGTGAGTTTTCACAAGAGCTGATAGTTTTATAAGTTTTTCCCCTTTTGCTGGGCACTTATTGCTGTCGCCTTGTGAAGAAAGATGCATTTGCTTCCCCTTCTGCCATGATTGTAAGTTTCCTGAGGCCTCCCCAGCCCTGCAAAACTGTGAGTCAATTAAACATCTTTCCTTCATAAATTACCCAGTCTTGGGTATGTCTTTATTAGTAGGGTGAAAAGTGATTAATACAGGACATCGATGCTGCTTGCTCAGGTGGAGACCTGTGGTTTCTCAATCTTGCATCCTCTGATTCTGCCCTTGTCCTTTTTGTGTGGCAGACTACAGAATGCCCTCGAAAATCTCTTCTCCCACAGTGGCAGTGTTCTAGCTGGGCACATGACTGCCCAAATAAGTCATCATTTCCTAGCCTCCCTTGCAGCTCATTGAAGCCATGTGTTTCGTTCCTGGCCCATGATATGTGGCCAGAAGTAATGTGCTCTTAAAAAGAATGCATGTGGATTCTACTGGTCCTTTTCTCCCCTCCTTCTGGCTGGAGATGGTGACAGCTAGAGGGATCACCTTGGACCTGGAGGGAGAAGTTACACTTGAGGATGTAAAGCTGCCCTGCCCTCAGGGCCTCCCACCTCTGCAGTGTTATATGGGAGAGAAAGAAGCATGTCCCCATCTAACTCACTGTATTTGGTAGCCTCTGTTAGATCAGCATAGCCCATATCCTTACTAACAAACCTCACCCCATAGTGTCTTTGTATCTAAGCCCTTGCAACACAAAAATTGCTTCATTTTCTCCTCTCCCCCACCACCCACCAAGTACATTCCCCAGAAATGGCATCTATTATTTTTAAATTGACATACTTATATAATTGGGATGTTCACAAATGTTCTGGCATGTCTCTCTTGGGACCATATTAAAACTTATGTGTTTCCTCCATCTTTAACTCAGGCAGAGACACATGACTTGCTTTGGCCAATGGAACATGAACAGAAGTGGCATGTGTTCATTCTGGGGTGATGCCGTCATGGCCGGTCCAAGTACTATAGTCTCCCTTCCCTACTGTGGTGATCATGCAGCTCACATTTGAGGTGGAACCTCCACCCACCCGAATCCCAAATAAAAAGACATGAAGCAGTACCCCTAGCCAAGGAGCCAAGGACATGTAGCACAGGCAAGAAATAATTATTTGTTATTAGAAGCCACAAATAAATGGAGGTTGTTTGTTTCTGCAGCATAACCTAACCTAGTCCTGACTGATACTGAGGTCAACCAGACTTGATGAAAACAAAGCCTTAGAGGAAGCATTGTGAAATACACAAGTGAGACACGCATGATGACAATGTAAGATACTGAGGGGTCATTCCAGGGTAATGCCTGTTTTAAGTATTTTCTTCCCCACCGCTGGACCCAAGCTTCCCCCTTTGGCTCTGCCTCTACATGAAAGAACCTGGTTCCATGGCATTTCAAGGTAGAAGAGGAGGAGTTGTGTGGCCCTGCTGGGGGTAGGGAAACAAAAATGAGGGGAAATGTTTACCACTGACATTGTTTAGAATTGCTCACACATGATAATAAAAAACAGAGCAACCTTTAATCCATTTAATTTTCTGAAATTGTCTACAGACAACACACTCATTAGGTGCACTGGTCAGTCACCGTTCATTACCTCACATAAGCACATCACTGGCTTGGCTTTATCTCTGGGTACCCAGGGATGAATTCAGGGATTGCTGGAGAGCTAGAGTCTGGGATGGAGAACAACTCACCACTTAATCCTGAAATATTACCTACTACATGGATGCTGTTTCTTCTACCACTATGGTTTCTATCACTTTCTTTGACTGGTGAAGTCCTTCATGGTTCAAGACCAAGTTCATGTTATCTCCTGTGTAAATCTTTTCTCGATACCCCCAGGCAGATTGAGTTGTTACCACTGCTGTGATTCCAGGACATCCTATGCACACCACTGTTATAAAGCAGCAGTTGTTCATTCACATGCCTTTCTCTTCTACCATGTAATGAGTTCCTCAAGGGCGAGGTGTGTGTCTGCTTTCTTTTTTGTCCCTACAGTAAGCACGACGCCTGTTATAAAGTTGGTGTTCCGTGCATATTCGTGTTGACTTTGCAAGTATTTCTCTATTTCCTACCATGTGTCAGCCTCTGGACAAGGCCCTGTGGATACAAAGACACATAGTCCACTGGGTGTGAAAGGCATATTGTGACCCATCTCTGTCCCTCATTCAGAAACATTACTCTCTTTCTTTCCTGCCTGGAAAGATGAAAGTCATCCTTCCACTTGTAAACTATATCATGCATTAGAATGCAATCTGCTTCATGGCCTAAATTATGTATTTTCCTCCAGGTTGTTAAGGCATCACAGAAGAATGTCTACTAGCCAAAAATCTATTTTGAATGTAGAGGAGGTCATTCCATCTTTGCAATAATTGTTGCTTTCCAGCCACTGGGTTCCCTCAAGGCTGAACCCCACCACTGCCCCCCTCCCCCATGCTTCATCAGCATCTGCTTTTGTTTCCAACTTGTGACTGTCACAAGAAATGACCCAGACATCTCAGAGGGCTGATGAGTTTTTATTTTTACTACCAGTCTGTTGCAACATTTGGCAAACAGGGGGAGGAGTTATTATATTATGTGATTTTAATATGATAATAACTAACACTTTGTATCTTGCACAGAATGCTTAGATGTATCAGACAAGCCTTTTGCATACATTTGCCCAACTACTTTTCACAACAACTCCATGATATGATTACTATTATTATCCCCGTTTTACACAGAAGTAAACTCTGACGCATGAAGATAAAGCCATTTGCCCAGATAGTAAATGCTAGATTCAGAACCTGTATCAGATTTGTGTGCCTTCAAAGCCAGATAACTGGCATGAGCCAGCTCATACTGGCTTGAGAGAGCTGATTGTACACATCTGTTTCCAGCTCCACATCCATTGACATCATTCTGGTTACTTGAAATTGACCATGGCAGGAATATTTACACCACAG